GACACTCAAAAATAGCATATTATTTGCAGAAAATTAATTCCTTATCAAAAATTTTTTTTAGACCAATTAGGTGAAATAGGATGATTTTCTACAGGACACTAGTGTACCGAGGCACAGTGGTTGAAAAACACTGGTTTACACACATCTGCTTCCCTGATCATCATCGGACCTTCGGATTAAAAAACACTTCCTCTCTGGCTTTGAAACAATGACTCAGCAGGCCCTCTGCAGCAGGATACTCTCCTTCCTCTGGTTCGACCCTCTGTCTCTCCTGCTGCGGATCATTTGGCCTGGCAGACGATCTATAAATAAATGTTTTCAAGGTTTATATAATTCTCAACTATCGTTGAGTCAGCGACACATGAGCAGCCAAAGCCTCTTTGGATTAAATCGATTCATAAATCCAGCATTTCATTGGTAAATCTACCTGATTTGTTCATACCTATTGTGACCCAATACATATTTTTTCCAGTAAAATTAAAATTCTCAGATGCTAATTCACTCATAGGCTGTATAAATTCAAATAAACAAGAGAAAATGCTTTTAGTGTTAATTTAACAGCAGTAAATTTCGATGCAGTTGTCATGTTAATCCACTAAAAATCCACTAAATATGTTACTTGAAATAGTTCCAACGTTTTCCAACGTTTGCGTGAACAGACTCACATTTAAAAAGATCCATCCTCAAAGCTGGAGGAGCCACAGAGACATAGTCAGGATGTTTTCCTGTTTTCCTTCAGGATGTGAGAACCCAGAGCTCCTAAGAATAATAATTCATTATTATCAACAGGAGTCAAAACAGTCAATCTTGTGTGTCTCAGAAACTGTAATGTTTCAAATCTTTGCTCATTGCATTGATAATTTACTGTAACCCAAAGCCTTGCATTTTGGCAAGGCATTTTTATTTATATAGCGCAATTCATACCAAGCGGCAACTCAATGTGCTTTACATTAAGACAAGACATTTTAAATAAAAGAACAGCATAAAACAGCAACAAAAAAAAAAAAAACTTTTTTTTTTTTAAAAAGGTTAAAACACAGTTAAAAGCAGGAACAAAGGAAAAAGCAATATGTTTGTTACAGCTCCAGTGCTTTTGCAAAACCAAGATTACAATG